GTCATATCATCAAAATAAAAAAACAAAAAACGTGGAAAAAATGAATCACTGGGTCTGGATTTCTCTATGGAGAATAACCTCTCACAAGGGGCTTGCCGTAAGGGGGACGTATGGAAAGTATGGCCTCCTAGTTAGCGGTATCCCTATATCAGGGGAGGGGGCATATTTTTGTGCATTTCTTCCAATCTAGACCTTTCGATTCCTTCCCGTTATGACTCCTCTTCGATCCAGGTGGATAAGCCAAGAATTGGAATGAACTAGGTAGAAATGACGTTTTCAATGTACCTGAGTTGTTGAATATTTATAAATCTTGATTAAATTTTTCGTTCACTGAAACATTGTCTGGATGGATAAAACCAGTTTAGTTCACCTGTTCACTGTCTCTGAAATAATCAGTCGTATTACTCTTTGCCCATTTTCAGAACGTCTACTCAGCTCCTTGTGTGGCACAGCAGCGAACATTCAAGGAAACCCCAGTGCAAACATTTTACTTCCTATATAAGCCTCATACCGTACCCATATTCTTCTTCATAACTCTGTATCGCCTGGGTCTCATACGGGAACAAAGGAGTTCTCGGTACTTCCTAGAAGTCCTCTTCCCTTGGGAAGAAGTATAGCATTCGTGTCATACGCTCCGACGTTACTATTGTCCATCTTCAGACAAGGAAGGGAGGAAAGTCTTCTTGGCTCAATTCGAAATTCGATTCCCAGCCCTTGCAGACTGCAGCTGAACTCCTCGCAAGCGCTCAGATCTCCTCCGATTTATGTTGAGATAGACTTGACAATCCACTTTACCCTCTCATTCATCACTAGCGCATTTTCCTTGACTCAACATACCTGTGCAAAGTTACTTGACTCCTTACCAACTGCCGAAGTCAGTTGAGCCTCTTGAGAATGCCTTTGAATGGATCGTAACTTAGTCATGACCACAGCCGTTAAAACGATAACTATAAATCCCATTACCTGAATAAGGATGAACACTCACAGTGTCTACAAACACATTTTCAGCTCAAATTGATCAGTTGACTTACCATATTACTGGATCCCCAATAGTAGTGGAATTCTTTGCTTACAAAGCAACCAATAGCTGAACAATTTGTTTTTCGATCGAAAGGATTGAGGGTGAATTCGACGACGAGATCGAGAACTGCGAGTAAGCAGCCGATTAGCAGGCTGTAGGCTGCATATGTGGAAGAGGACAGCTTACGATAAGTCATAGGAAAAGCAAGAGCCTTAAAGAGTAAATTTACGTCTGAAAAAAATTCCTCACGAGCCCAAGTTCGTGTTTATACTCACCAGAGTCCGTTCGAAAGCTATGGATATAGTCAGAGTTAGGTTGATTTTCAGTTGTATAACTAAAGGAGTACTGGAAATCAAAACAATATATGGGTTAAGGTCAATAGATATTGAATCCCAACATGACGTCAAATATATGGAGTAGATAAGAGCTGAAAACTGAATTTAATAAAGAAAAAGATGTACCTTTATCGGAAAAGAAAAAGTTATGTGAACTTTTTTCGGATTAGACCAAAACGAGGAGAAGTGATGCAGTGGCAAGTGGGCAAGTGGAGCTTTATCCCACCATCATGGCCTGGGGATCGGTCTGAGTAATCTCGCCGAAGGCTCGACCTAGTCTTCCATCCCTCCTGGGTCGCTTTCTTGCATTCAAACACTACTACAATTCTGAATGGAAATCGGTTGGAGGCGCATCTTAAAACAGAAGTTTTACCATACGCTAAGGGAAGTTATCGAAGG